TTATTCTTGTCTAAGTGTGCTCCAGTTTATGTATATATCTATCCTAAAGTATTGTGACCTAAAGCAGCCTAATTTTCAGCACTGTGTTCTGAGCAGTGCACAGCAGAGCCAGGGGATCAGCTTCCTCGTTCTGGATATTATAGTCATGTTAATTTAACACTGGAGTGGAAAGTCCTAATTATACTACATTGGTTTACAGTTATATTAAATTGACATATAACATGATTATACTTAGGCATATGGTAATAAAAGATGGTAATGAAAAAATAAGTTTCTGTAAATTGTCACATTTTAAGTGAAATAATAAGAAAACTGGACATGATTTTGCACAACTTAATTTTAGCACCTGTACACTTAGATTTTGTAAAAAGAAATGTATAAAGCAGAGGGTATATTTAACATATTTTGCATAGATCATTTAGGATTCTCCTGTTTACAGATGAAAGATGCTATTTTATTTTTCAGTGCACAGATAATTCTAAAGGTACATTGGTTTCTTCTTATTAGTTATAAGAGACAGAGTTGCTTTTTGTAAAAATGTATACTCACAGCTTGAAGTGTTCCTGGGTAAACAGGTTCATTTATGAGGATATTATCTCCAGGATTAATGATCATTTCAAATGCCTAACAAAAGAAGCATAGGTTAGCTTGGATAGCATTGTTTCCATTATTAGAACTCCCTCTTTTTAAGTTTGAGCTCACTAAGATTCTAGAGAAGGAGTTAGCAAATTTTCTGTAAAGTGCCAGATGGTACCTATTTTGTGGGCCATAGTGTGGCTGTTGCATTGCTTAATGATGGAGATACATTCTGAGAAATGTGTCATTAGGCAATTTCATCCTTGTGTGAACACAACAGAGTGCACTTACACAACCCCAGAAAGTATAGCCTACTACACACCTAGGCCATGTGGTACTAATCTTATGGGACCACTGTCGAATATGTGGTCTGTCACTGACTGAGATGTAGTTCTGTGGCTCATTACTGTACTCATCTCTCCCTCTACAGTGAGAAAGCAGCTATAGACAATATGTAAACCAATGGGTGTGGCTGAGTTCCAATAAAACTCTATTTACAAAATCAGATGAGGCTGGATTTCATTCTCAAGCCATAGTTTGCCAACCTCTATTCTAGAGTAAGATGAAAAATAACATAACTGGTTTGGCTCCTAAAATTTATTTATTCCTTCTTTGAAAATTTATTAAGTATATACTATAAGCCAGGCCTGTGTAAGATGTGGAGATAAAATGATGAGATTATGACATGGTTGTTACCTTCATGGAGCTACTACTTCACTGGGAAAGCTAGATGCTAATCAAATAATTACTCAAATAAATGTATATTTAAAAACAATGATTAGTGCCATTAAGTATAGATGCACAATGTTATAAGAGCTCATTGTAGGAGGACTTGGGCATTCAGGGAATTCAAGGCATTCAGGGAAAGCTTCCTTGAGGAAGTGATGAATTGGTTTGGGGGTAACAATAGGTACATTTTGAGAAACTGAAGGAATTCTGTGGCTTGAAGCAGAGTATCAAGAAGTGAGCAGGGTGAGATCAGAAGTGGGCAGAGACCATACCATGTAGGCATTTGGGTCAAGGGAGGCCAATAAGAATTTTAAGTACAGGGTGGGAAAGGGAGTCACATTATTTGACAAGCATTTTGAGAAAATCCTTCTGGCTGCAATATGAAAGTATAAAAGAGGAGTGAGACTCCATATGGAAAGTTTGGGAAATTTTTAGGATTATTTTGGAAGTTTTTGCTGCAGTCCTGGGGACAGATGAGGGTAGTCTGGTCATGGTGATGATGGTGAAATAGGAGGGAGAACTGAGTGGCATTTAGGAAATCAAAACCAACAGAACATAATTTTGGACTACAGGGGAGTGAGGAAGGAGAGGTGTCAAGAATGATTCCTAGATTTCTGGCTATGGAAGTAGACAGATGGTGGGAGTGGTGCCGTTCACTGAAAAATAGAATCCAAAAGTTGTCCATTTCTGAGGGAGAAGATGATGAGTATGTTTTGGTTTGAGGTGCCTTTGAAACATCCTGTGATGGTGTCAGGTGGACAGATGGACAAATGGTTTTGGAAGGAGCTTGGAAGTTACTAGTATATGATTGAGCACATGGTTGTGAATGGAGCTACCCAGGGAGTATATAGATTAAGGGGAGAAGAAGTTTAAGGACTGAGCCTTGATAAACTCCAATAAATAAAGGCGGTGTAGAGGAGGACACTGTGAAGGAAGCAGGGCAGGTGGGCCGGAGGGGAGCTGCCCAAAGTGGTGAGAGAGAGCCAGAGGAGGAGAGTGTTTCCAAAAGAATAGGAAGGCCAACAGTGTTAAAGGATATTTAGAAGTCAGGTGAGACAAGGCTTGACAAATCCCAGGAAATTTTGCAGACAATATTACTCCCACTGACATCAAAAGAGCTGGACAATAGATTTTTCCAGCCTAAATCAAAGGGGTCTATTATGACTAAATCTTACGTAAGTCACAGAATAATCCTTTCTTACCTGTGATGGTTCACAATCCTCAGTTCAAGCCTCTCCTTCCTAGCATTTTAACAACCTACATCTTATGGCAAACAGTATGGCCATTATCAATTGAGATGGAAGATTTGACTTTTGTTTCCTGATTTGGCATAGGATGTTCCATTTACCTTTTCCTTATGAGCTTTTGGTATTTTACGACGAAGAGTGTCCTCCCCTAAAAAGTTTATAATTGATTTGGGCTTTATAGGACCTCCTAGCACCAAACAAATTACTTGGGTGGCGTGTGCCTTATCAATAGACCAAATAAAAACCTAATTACGCACATTTTCCATGTCAATTAGGGGACATGAGAATGTCAAATAGCCTAAATGAAAAGGGAGGGGTGTTTAATATCTGGTAGCACTGTTTAATAGATGTAGATAGAAACACAGGTGCCTAAAATAGCCATCCTGGAGAACAAAATGGAAGAAATATTAAACCAGATTCCCACTAATGCCTCTGTAATAAGCATTCTATAATGAGTTATTGATTTATTTGGCCATCTATGCTATCTCCATTCTTTGATATAACTGATGTTGTGACAGATAAAGAAGAAACTGTCTTGAGCATCTTTCTGGGAAAAAAGTTCATAGTATACCTTCCTAAGAAAAGAATTTCATTGACAAAACTTTTTTCATATTAGTCTATGGAATCACAAATGTTTCTCTTCAAGCAAACTCTTGAATGGTAGCTAACCCTTTTATTTTTCCTAATTGAATACAAAAAGAGGAAGAAAAATTACAAAGATTCTTATTACTTCAATACATTATTCTGTAGTAATAATGTAAGTAAAATTCATTAAAGCTAACCAGATTACAGCTTTCACATTTACATAAAAAAGAAAAACAAAGCTACTCTGGTTTAAGATAAGTAAGAGTAATATTTTAATCTAGATGTGAAGACTGGATATAGAGAATCTTCATCCAGGACTAATTATTAATGAAAAAGAAAAGGAAAAAAACAGATAAAACTGAGAACCATAGGTGAAGTCTCTTTATTTTGGGAACCCCTGAGTTGTGGTTACATCTGTGGAGTTCCTGGAACCTAGGTGAGAGGCAGATGGAATAATTGGGAGAGGGGGAGAGGGAGGGAGAGAGAGAACACGAGAACCTAGAGAGAAGTCAGAGACAGTGACATATACATAGATATAGGGAAGCAGAGCCAAGAGCGAGACAAGGTATAATCAGTGGCGAGCACAGATGATTACATAAGCAGACATGCAAAAGTCTAACATTTCTTCTCAGGAGTATCAGGATCTGCCCTTTAAAGAATTTCAAAATCATATTGAAATGTCATAACTATAGGCATAAATCAAAATGTAACCTGAATCTTTGAGCCAGATGAAATTAAGCAGTGCTCACTAAGCATCTGGTGGGAGTGGAGTACTCGAATCTTGTTTTAATGATTCACATCTCCAGGTCATTGACAACATGATCTATGTTTAAGAAAAGTCAGGTGGGTGAATGTCTTTAAGTTCCCTATTTATAATTCTAAGTAAAGACAAGACAGACTACCAGGAACTCACAAAACACGATCCTCTTGTAGCTAAGTGAGAGATGACTGTTTTTGTGAACCTATTTGATTCTTAAGGTGGGGGTACCCTTTCTTCTCAGTCTTACCTTACAAAGACCGTCTTGGCTGCCAGATGTGACACATATCTCCATTTGTCCTTGGCTGGATGGATAATGGATGGTGGGAGGATTATGCAATCTTATTTGTAACTGTTTCAGCCAGGACAACAGCTCTGGGATTCTAAAGCATAAAATGTATTTTCAAATTTATAGTAGTAAAAAATCATAATAGTAGACAGGAATTAAATGGTAGCTTTATACAAGAAACTTTATAATTCAATTTAAAGATCCTCAAATGCTTTTTGACAATATTAATATTGCTATTTAAAAAAGAAGGAAACAGACTTAGAGATTAAGAAATTCACATAGGGGCTGGCCCGGTGGTGTAGCGGTTAAGTTCATGTGCTTCGGCGGCCCAGGATTAGCTCGTTTGGATCCTGGGTGTGGACCTATACACTGCTCATCAAGCCATGCTGTAGTGAGCATCCCACATAAAAGAACTAGAAGGACTTACAAATAGGATATACAACTATGTACTGGCACTTTGGGGAGAAAAAAAAAAAGAGGAAGATTGGCAACCAATGTTAGCTCAGGGCCAAACTTCCTGAAAAAAAAAAAAAAGAAAAAAAAAAGAAATTCACATAAAGTCAATCAGCCAGTGATTAAATAAGCTGAGACTGGACTCTGTATCTTTCTTATTCCAAAGCCTACACTCTTTCTTTTCCACCAGAACATTTACTGCATAATCGATTCTTAGTTCTCCTTAGGAAAATTTCCATAGGCCACCTAGAAGTTCAGGTTCAATAAGTTCTTTCTATCATGGAAAGAAAAGCCTATGTATGTATTACATATAATTCATATATGTATAACATGTATTATATTTCAATATACTTTTCAATCACAGAACCAAGAAGCCTTTAATAATTTACAGACACTCCATAAATTGTCCTTTATCATTGGAAGAAGACCAGCTAAGGAAAGTCTTAAGGTATGTGTTCCAGCTTGCTTTTAAGAAATTAAAGGCATCTGCACTGAGGCCAAATAGCTGCCTGCAACTATTAGGGGAACACAATTATTAGACAATTGCCCTGGGACTTAAAATTGCTGCTTCCTGGATCATCTGTTTCCTCCTCTCTACTAAGCTGCTTCTTTACCTAGCTGTCTCATTTCTTCCAGTCTCAGCTCCAATGGTACTTCCTTCTAGAAGCTTTCTCTGACTAGCCCAGTAGTTTAAGATCTACAAGCAGTTACTGAGGAGTGTTACATATTTAATATCCCTGTTGCTCTCAATTATTCTTTGAAAACTCTTCCCCAAACCTTCCTACCTGTTGTATATGCAGTTAAAAGAGACACAAGTCACTTTGTCACTTTATCAATGGGCCTTAGAATATTGCTTATGAAAATGAACTAACAAAATGATCTGTTGATAACTACCCAGAACTTGGAGAATACTGAAGTGCTTTCTTCATCATCTCTTCATCAAATTCGATGGTCTTTCCATCTTCTAGGGTGACAGCAGCAGTCTTAAAAGGGAACACGTTTGGATTTGGTGCTCCAGGAGCCAAAGAGATGGTGGATTTCGGTATCTTTCCCAATAGCTCAGCTGCAATAAATATGTAAGAGAAGAAGAAATACTTTCATTGAAGACTTTCATAAACAGAGATGGTTCAGTATGTTGTATTATAGTCCATAACACCGTAGAGTTTAACAATTTCTAGTGATAGACTGCTAGTCTAAAATAAACATAAAATAACTTTTTCTGGACCTGCCTCACTGGTGGAGGAATGAGGAGCACAGACGTCCAACTAGGTAGGCAGAGTGATCAGGAAGATAAGCAAGGGACCATAACAGAACCCCTCCTTCATTTAGCCCCTACCTGCTTGTGAAGCTTGATGGCTCGCCCTTTTCTCTCTCATTTGCACACTGTGCCGAACCCCCACTCATCTTCCCAGGAAGAGCCTTTCTAGACAGCACGCCCTCTCTCTTCCAAGGATACAACAGCCTGTGTCTCTCTCTATTGCTACTCCTACTACCCTGAGCAGAGAGACCCAATTCCCCGCCTTCCGTTCCAGCCCGAGTGCTGTGCGAACAAGGACTCGGGGCTCTTTTATGTCTGCTTGCAGAGCCTGCATCCCAGGGTGCTCTCACAGGTGAATGAACGACTGCAGCCAGGCGGCAGGAGTCGGCACCGTACTCAGCGGCTCTGGGAGGACACCCGCACCTGGGAGGGAGGCGCCGGCCCCGGGACTCACTCAGGAGTCGGATGGCAGAAGGCTTTCTTGCTGCACTCTGTGCCGTGAGGAACCGTGAGTAATTCATGTCTCGGATACCCAGGCACCAAGCACCGTCTTCAGTAGTTGAAAATTAGAAAAACTAAATGGCTGCGTCTAGTACTGCCTCCGAACTCTAGAAAAGCCACCTGCGTTGTCCCCTCGCTGCGTCTGGGTGCTCCGGCGCGGTGCCGGGGGAGTGCAGCTGAGCCTCCGGCGCTCGGGCTCTGGACCCTGAAAGGGCCTGGGCGGTGGCAAGACTTGCAAAGTCCACCCTCGGAGGCAGGATTTGCCTGCTCTCCCCAGCCCGCGTCCCGCCCCGCCCCGCAGCCTATCCGCCCATCCCGGCCCGGGTCAGTGCCCGTGCCTCGCGGGGGCGGGGAGGCCCTGGCCCCCCTGCAGGGCCGGGCTCAGATAAAAGCGAGGACTCTGGACCTCGCAGCGGGGAGTCGCAGCAAGAAAGCGTCACGGTTGGCCTGAGCGCTGGCCTGGGCTCTTGCCCAGGGCTGGTGAAGGGGCCCGGAAGGACCCCGCGATGCCAGTCCGTGGGTACCATCTGGCGGCGGCTCTGGTCCATTGCAGCCGGCTCGCTAGGCCTCCCGCGCTGGTGTTTACCTGGCCTCTTCTAGCCATACAGACAGCGCGCTCTCCTCCCCCACCACTGCGGTGTTAAATACTGTCCTTTCGTAAATATAACTATAGGCACTATCTTGGAAGTCACCAAGGCGACCCACATGACTTCTAACATCGCTTTCTCCAAGATCTGAGCATTTTAGAGGGCAGAGTATTGATACAAATTTTTGAAGAATCACTCTGAGGGTCTCTTCAAATTTTAGCGTCTCGCCTCCCCGTGGATTTTCTGACCATTCATTAGGGACTTAGGTTGGAAATGTATCTCCAAAGAGACTCATCTTTTCTTACAGAATAATTCCTCCCGTCACCTCCATTTTTCTCTGTGATTTCTCCTTTCTGAATCACCAAAATGGAATGCACAGGGGGTTCCATGTGAGCACTTAATGAGAAGATTTTGAGATATCTTTTTTTATTCTTAAATGGGCATAAATGTGTCATTTACCTTAAACAAATTCCAAACTGGATTCATTCTGAACATTTCTTGAGTATTTCCTGGATGAGTAGTGACACACTGCCAAATGGCTCTCTAGACAGAAATAGATTGGTCAAGGAGACACTTCTGCTCTTATCAAAGTCCTGGCAACAAAAGGATGAGATAACCCAGTGATATCTTTTTACCAGCAGCTCTGGAAACCCAAGAGGCAATAGAATTCTGTGTTCAGAGACTTCAAGTTGTTTAAATCCCATTTGATGATTTACCAGCTGGGTGTCTTTGGAGGAATTACTTAATCTTTCTGTGCATCAGTTTTCTCACAGGGCTGTTGGCAGGATTAGACAAGAGAATCTCTGATAAGCTCCTCAGCACAGTGGCCTGCACATTGTGAAAGCCCTCCGTGAGTGTTAGCCATTATTATGAGTAGTAAGAATGCTTTCAGCAAACCTTAAGGACTCAGCCTCCAAATATTTTTGGCTAGAGAAACTATTTGGCAACTTTTAAGGCAAATTGTGTCCTTAGTTAATTCATATATGCAACTAAGGATCTTTCTGAGATTGTCTGTTTTAAAAAGGGTTACTCCTGAAAGTTTCTTGAAATTATCTCAATAAGCTCTGAATACATTTAAATGAGGTATAGACCAGGTTGATTATGAAATGTAACTAGAAATCTGAATGTTACTGGTGACTTCAGCTTCTTTTTTGACTTTGGTTTATGCAATTCCCTCAGATACTTAACACAGACTTACACTTATTTCCTTTGGTGGTAGGAACTTATTTTGTGAAAGGAGTTTGAGTTCTGGGCCAAGGAAAACACTGAAGATGAGGCTTTGCAACCACATTCGTATACAGGTCTGTGATTCTTATAATATTTATTATATTCAGATATTAAAAAAATGCTGAACTAATTTTTGCTCCCTTTCCCATCCGTGGTAACGAAAAATCAAGGAACCAAAACTAACGAGACTTAAAACCATCAAAGCATAGGATGTGGGACAGCGCTGAATTTTCTATTTGGCCTGCCCTGTAGTTGGGTAGGTGAGATGGTCGAGGGTGCTGACTGATTATAAGGTACATGATGATTTAGGCCAGGTAGAGAGGCAGAGAAGTGGCCCATCAGGGCAGACTAATGGAACGCGGGGGACGTGAGGGTTGTGGCTAGAAAATGCAAGGCAGAAAATGGCCATTGTAGTGGGAAAGAGACAGGCAAGGGTTTAGTTGGGGAGAGCTTAGCTCACAATCAGAAGCTGAAAAGTAAAGATAAAACTGATTGCCAGAGAAATCAGACAGACTGGACTTTGAATTTGTCAGGAGAAGGAATTCTGCTGAGGGAGTAAGATGAATGAGCAAGGGTCACAGCTCAGTGCTGCCTTTTTAAAGGCTTGGCTGAGGACTGCCAGAGGATAGAATTAAAGACACCAGATTTTCTGGATTTAATCATTCCTGAACATTCGTAGAATACTTACTCTGCGCGACGAACTGTAATAAATTTAAAAAGATAACTAAGGCAAGTCACTGCTCTGGAAGAGCAAGTGTTTGTCTCTTGAGGGGTTAACAATTTCATGTAATTCAGCATCCAGAGCAGGAGGTACAAGCTGCTTAGGAAAGCAGAGAGAAGGTGCTGATTGTGTCCCACGGACAGAGTTCTCACTTGGGTTAGAAACATAAGCTTCTTGTCCTCTCATCTTCCTCTTATCATGGTGGCCATGCTCACAGTCTGAAATCAAACCGTCACACACACAGGCTAATTGTTGTTCTCTACTACTTTCACTTAAAACTTAGAGGTCACAGTAGGAATACGTTTTCCTCACTTGACAGATTTATCACAGAGCCTTTTCCATAATCTGTGAGGGAATCAAGCTTCAGAACACCAAATTTGTTCAAAGAAATTTTGCCAATGTTCCTAATTTTCATACTTTGGGGCTAGACTGTTGAGCCAGTTTTGAGTGGAAAATGGAGAAGGAAAATGTGTGTATTTATTGGGGAGTGGGTGAGAAAGTATGTTATTATCTCTTGTTGTGTGACAAGTTATCCTAAAACTTAGCGGCTGTGTTAGTCCGCTGGGGCCGCCATAACACAAAACTACAGACTGAGCGGCTTAAACAACAGGAATTTATTTTCTCACGGTTCTGGAAGTCCTAGGTTAAGGTGTTGGCAGGGTTGGTTTCTCCTGAGGCCTCTCTGCTTGGCTTGCAGATGGCTGCCTTCTCACTGTGCCCTCACGTGGCCTTTTCTCTGTGTGTGTGAATCCCTGGTGTTTCTCCTTTGCTTATAATGACACGAGTCGTACTGAATTAGGGCCCCATCCTAACAGCCTCATCTAACTTTAATGACCTCTTTAAAGGCTCTATCTCTAAATAAGTCACATCGGGGGTAAGGGCTTCAACATAAGAATTTTGGGGGAGACACAATTTGGTCCATAACAGCAGTTAAAACATCAAACATTTATCTCATAATTTCTGTGGGTCGGGAATTCAGGAGCATCTTAGCTGGTGGTTCTGGCTCAGGTTGTCTCAAGAAGTGGCGGTCAAGGTAATGGTCAGGGCTGCAATGATCTCAAAGCTTGCGTGAAACTGGACGGTCTGCTTCCAAAGTGGTTCATTCACATGATGTATTAGTTTCCTAGAGCGGCTGTAAAGAAGTATCAAAAACTGGCTGGCTTAGAACAACAGAAATTTATTGTCTCACAGTTCTGGAGGCTAGAAGAACAAGATCAAGGTGTTAGCAGGATTGGTTTTTTCTGAGAGCTCTGAGGCAAGATCTATTCCATGCCTTTCTCCTAGATTTTGGTGGTCTTCTGCCAATCTTTGACATGTCTTAGCTTGTAGTTACATCACCCTGACCTCTGCCTTTGTCTTCACAGGGAGTTCTCCCTGTGTGCATGTCTCTGTCTGAACTTCCCATTTTCATAAAGATACTAGTCATTATTGGACTGGGGCTTACCTTAAGGATCTCATTTTAACTTGATTACGTCTGTAAAGACTCCATCTTCAGATAAGGTCACACACATTATTAAGTACTTGGGGTTAAGACTAGCGTATCTTTTTTTGAGGAGACACAATTTAGCCCATAACACGTGACTATGGGCAGAAGACCTCTTGCTGGTTATTGGTAGGAGATCCAGTTCCCTTCCACATGTACCTCTCTGTAGAGTTGCTTGAATGTCCTTATGACATGGACAGCTGTCTTCCCTCAGGTTGAGTGACCCAAGAGAGAAAGGATAAGGTCTCGATGCCTTTTGTGACAGAAATCACACTGCCACTCTGCCATATTCTATTCATTAGAAGTGACTTTTTAACTCCAGTCCACTCACAATGGGAGGGGAATCAGGCTCTACCTTTTGAAGGAAGGAATGTCACATAATTTGGAAATATTTTAAAACCCATAGAAGGGAAGCAGGGTTAGGTCAAATTAGAAATATTGTTGAGGGTAGTGTAATAAGATTAAGGCAGTAATCAAATCATAGAGATCTTACCTGTCATAAATACTAGAGTTAGGCACTGAACACCCAAGAAAGGAGGAATCGAATAGTTTGATAGCTAAGGTTATTATCAGGGAAACTAAACAAAAGAGGTGATTATGTATGAAAAGGGAAACAATTCTTCTGAGGGAGAAAGTTGTACCAGCAAGGCTGACTTTTTAATTTCCAATATTGTATTTTTCAGTTCTATAATTGTCATTTGGTTCTTTATAAAGTTTCTGTTTTTTTCTGTTGAGATTAACTATCTTCATTCATTGTGAGCATGTTTTCCTGGAACATTCTAGGCCAAGGAAAACACTAAAGGATAGCTTTTGTGCTAGTTATAATAGTTGGTTTAGCATAATTGTAATAGTTGCTTTCGAATCCTTATCTGCTACTTCAAACATTTGGGTCATCTCAGAGTTAATTTCCTTTGTCTTTTTTTACTGAGACTAAGTCATATTTTCCTGGTCCTTTATATGTTGAGTAATTCTGAATTTGCCTCAGCATTATGTATGCTGTAGAGACCCTGAATTCTGTTATATTCCTCCAAAGTGTGTTGAGGTTTTTGTTTTAGTAGGCAATCAGCTTTGTTGGAATCAAAGTGTAATTTCTACCTCTTGGGCAGCAGTTCAAATCTCAGTTCAGCTCTTTTATCTTTGGCTGGGGTGCTTTGAGTGTTCTCTGTTCATGCACGGTTCAAAGATCAGCAAAAGATTTGAGTGAGTTTATACATAGAATTTAGGATGTCCCCTCTCAGCCTTTATTCTTTATTGGGTTTTGCCCTTCACTTTTCAGTGCCTGCGCTTGCCTTAAACTCTATCCTTTCATTCTTTAGACCAGAGAGACTACAGATTTTCCATTAGAGTTAACTGCCCCCATGAAGTATGGATTTTGGCCTGTTCTTGTGCTGGAAGCTGTAAAAATGGAATCTCTTCTTCCAAGTATAGATTCCCTCCAGATTCTGGGGGCTTTTGTTCACTCTCCAGAGACTTCAGTTTTTCTTTTTATCTTTTCCTTCCTCTTTCCCTCTCTTTCTTCTTCCCTCCCTCCTTCTCTTCCATTTTATATTTTGTGCAGAACTGTTATTTGTTATCTGCAGAAGATTTGGGTCCAGGAAGAGCATACCTGGTTATATCCGAAGCAGAAACCTATTGCTGTGGACTTTTTAAATGGTTGGGAAGTAGTGTAGTGTAGTGGGTGATTATAGCTTTGGAATCAGACCCCCTGGTTTCAGATCTTAGCCTTACCACCTCCACTCTGTGTGTCCTTGGACAAATTACTTAACCTCTTTATATCTAAGTCCCCAGCCTGTAAAATAGGATAAAAAGATGTTACCTATCTCACAGGATTATTTTGAAAATTAAATGCATATAGTTTGCTTTTCAGTGTCTAACATAATGAATGTCTAATAAATGTCAGCTGCTTTCATTCTTATTATCAACAATATTAATAATGATAAAAGGGGCAATTAGAATATTCTGAGAAATCCTACTTAAGAAGACTTTATCTCAAGAATTTCTCTCAAGCTCAAGGGGATTAAATTTACTATATTAAAAAGAATTATTAAATATTGATTTCACTCATATGTGGAAGATAAACAAAAACATGGATAAAGAGAACAGATTAGTGGTTACCAGAGGGGAAGGGACCTGGGGGTGGGTGGGTGAGAGGGGTAAAGGGGCACATATGTATGGTGATGGATAAAAACTAGACTATTGATGGTGAGCATGAGGTAGTCTATACAGAAACTGATAAATAATAATGTACCTTTGAAGTTGCACAATGTTATAAACTTTTATGACCTCAACAAAATAATTGATAAAAGAAAGACTTATTAAATGCTTACCAAGTGCAAACTGTGGGCTGAGTTTACTAAGAGAAATAACATATGTTCCTATTTTGGGTGAGCAAGTATATATGTGGGTATATTTGGTGGGTCCTAAAAGTCAACAAATAATGATAGAACAATGTGAAAAGTATAAAGCGTCGGAGCACAGTGCATATATAAAGCACAGAGATGAGAGTAATTAATTTTAAAGGAGACATTCGTCCCTCACTCAACACATTTACCACGGACTTTACCCATGATCTGAAAGAGATGTAAGTTTTATACGACCAAGTTTACTGGTAAGCGTTCTGAGTTTAAATTCTGTAGTAAAGAGAGATGCATATTTTTATCTTACCTACCCAGCTTTTAGATCTACCATATAGACATAAACTCAGAAAAGAAGTAGGAATTGTTGTCCTGTTGACTTTTTTTGGGCAAAAAGAAGTATGCAGGTGGCAGCTGAAACAAGGTTCAAACAGATTGTAAGGTATTGTTCTTTTTGGCAAGTTGAGGCCCCCAGGGCAAAGACAGATTTGACAAATATTTGTTTGGCATTTTCTG